GCCTAGGAGCCGCGGAAGTAGATTTTTGGAAATCGTTGTTGTAAATGGCGCCATTGTTAAAACATGCTAATTATACACGTACATTAGGTTTATATGAAACTTCACGTGTACTTCGTGGTTCGTTTTCCTGAAGATGGTGGAATTATTTCCATTGAAACATGTAGAGTTTTAAAGTTTTTTAACTTATATTTTTTAAACTTTACAAATAAATTATTGTGTGAGTAAAAAACGTTGATGTCTCGTTCGATTAATTTTATTTAACTTTTTTTGCACAAGAACTGTTTTATGTATTGAATAATAATGATAGAGCCGTGAGTAACAATATTTGTTTCTTAACTTTGTTTAACGCAAACTGAAGTTCATTACTAGACATTTCTATTGATATAAATAATGACGTATATTTACAGAACTTATCAATAATCCGTTATTACAGCTTTGTCAGGAGCTATCGATAACCTGCCAGCTCACGTTGTTTGTTTGTTTATTTATTTATTGAATTTCGCGTGAAGCTACTCGAGGGCTATCTGCGTCGTTTTTAACTCTAATTTTGAAGCGATAGACAAGAGGGAAGCTAGTCAACATCATCCACCGTCAACTCTTGGGCTAGTCAACATCATCCACCGTCGACTATTGGGCTACTCTTTACCAAGTAATAGTTGTTTTGACCGTCACATTATAACTCCTCCACACAGGGGCGTCGAGAGTCAGCCCAGGCTCCGGGGTCAGTAATATTATCGGCCCCCCCCTTTCATTATAGTTATTAATTTTGTTAATTTTTCATAAATAAAAATTTAGGTGACAAATTTCTTCATGAATCCATGAAAAAACAGTAGCCATTCTAGCTCATTAAGTAGTGTGCTTTTCAGGTGAGCTTTGAAATATCCCATTGCCGGGCCCCTCAACAGACCCTGGGTCAGCTGTCCCCTTTCCCCCCTCTCGCCAGCCCTGCCCCCACGAATGAAATGGCGAGCTTTTCTGCGTACATACCTTTGTGGCCCGGCCATGGCCAGGTGGTTAGGGCGCTCGACTCACAATCTGAGGGTCGCGGGTTCGAATCCCCGTCTCACCAAACATGCTCGCCCTTTCAGCCGTGGGGCGTTATAATGTGATAGTCAATCCCACTATTCCTTGGTAAAAGAGTAGCCCAAGAGTTTGCGGTAGGTGGTGATGACTAGCTGCCTTCCCTCTAGTCTTACACTGCTAAATTAGGGACGGCTAGCGCAGATAGCCCTCGTGTAGCTTTGCGCGAAATTCAAAACAAATAAACATACATTTTTATAACTTTGGGCAATATACAGAAAAAATATATATATATTCAACTGAAATTATTATCACTGATACAACTTTTAGTACATTGCTCAAAACTACTCGGTTGATGCTATAACGACGTTATCAAAATACACTTCTGTTTATGTCCTTTTTTACCAGAATATTCTGTGTTGATAAGACAATTTATAATAGAACATTCTCATAAACAAATATCTGAACGTAATACGAAACACAATGAATTAATCCTGGTTTTGCTTATAATGTTTTAACATCCTGTTTTGTTATATTTTTTTCTATTATATTGCTATAATTGATCATAAAATATTCAAAATGTTTATCAAAATCACCTTACAAAAATAAGTCTATCAAATAAGACCATCACTAATTGTTGGACAACATAATATAACAAGATCAATCAGAGAGATTACATGCCATCTTTAATTGTTGGACGGCATAATATAACAAGACCAATCAGAGAGATTACATATCAACTTTAATTGTTGGACAACATAATATAACAAGATCAATCAGAGAGATTACATACCATCTTTAATTGTTGGACAACATAATATAACAAGACCAATCAGAGAGATTACATACCATCTTTAATTGTTGGACAACATAATATAACAAGACCAATCAGAGAGATTACATACCATCTCTCCGCTGCACCTT